CTCTTTCAAATGCTCCTCTATAAATATCAAGTATCATTGATACAAGTAGGGTGCTCTTTCCAGAACCAGACGGGCCTACAATCATAGCTCTCATCGGCAATTTAGGGACGACCTCGTGCTTACTTTGCTTAAAGTCATATTTGATTTCATCAATTGGTTTTACATCAGGCATAATAAAAATAATATTAAAGACATTTAGAAAATATTTTAATATTTATTATTTTATATGAATAGAAGTGATTCAGATTATATTGATATAATAGATGAAATAGAGAATATAGAACAAGTTGTGATAACTAATAATAGATGTAAAAAAATATGTTATTTTGTTTTAGAATTAATTAAGTTTGTTATACAATATATCAAAAATAAAAATGTGAATATTAATATAAATGCCTCCAAAGAAGAAGCAAGAGAAACAAAAAGAGATTGAATGTGTCAAATGCGATAAATGCGGTCAAGAAATTAAACCACTAAATGAATTAGAGTTAGATAAAGAACATGTCAAAGTTAAATGTTGGCCGTGTTCATGTGGTCGAAACATGCATACAGTGCATACAGTAAAAAAGAAAGATGCTGACGGTAGCACAGTTGAAGAAAGTTGGGTAGAAAACTTCAAAAGTGGATTTGGTAGGTTATTTACACCTGAGAAAGAATGATGAAAAAATAATAGTTAAAATTATTTCTATTATTATTTATAATGCAAGATGTTATAAATAATATTATTAAATTCATTGATGTAAAAGAATTGAAATTAAATAATTTTATTGAAGAATATAACGAACATGATATATTATTTAATTTTGTTAATGACTTTAGAAATAGCAAAATTGATTTTAACATGTTTTATAATTCTATTAATTATGCTGATTTATTTGAACAATCAGATTTAAAATTTTATTGTAAAAGAATATATTCATATACTTTAAGATTTATTGCTAATCATGATAATAAAAATGCTATTCAGTTTTATGAAATTACATTGAGAAAAATGAATAATATTTACAAAAATAGTAACATTAATGTTGTTAATGTGTTTGAATGTATTAAATGTTTAATAATTTATATTACAGATAATATTGAAAAGTTTCATAAATATTCAAAATTTAGAAAAACTATTATTTGTAATTTAATTGGTAAATTGAATAATAATTTAACGAGTTACACAATAACTAATTTTGAATTGACTTATAATGATATATGATTTTGTAAAAATAAAAGTTTAGTTTTAAAAGTTTTATTTTTATAATATAGTATATATATTTACATGGATGAAGGATTAGAAAAGATTGTTAAAAAACTGAACAAGGTTTTAGAACAGAATAAGAATATTTTAGAAATCTTGCAAGAAATGGAAAAGAAGAAACCATTAACAAACAGTTATCAAAGTAAAGAAGTAGATAGAACCAATGGGGAATATAAAAATAAAAGAAATATTTATTTAAACAAACATAATAACAAAGAAATTAAAGAACCGAAGGCTTCAACTATGACATTTTACCAAATTGACTATGACGAGGAAACTCAACTTTATTCATAAAGTTGCATTTA